TGAGGACAAGTAATCCATTTGATAAGATGTTTGTTTTCTATTTTTATTTTGTTGAAAAAATGGATAGTTTTCACTACGATCCTGTGAAGGATGTAAATTTGTTTGAAAATTTACTGAATTAGTTTGTGCCATTGGGTTATCCCAGTTTCGAGATCTTGTATAATTATTAAAATTTTTTCGTGGGGGATAATTTGTTTTTGATGGATGCGTGTAATTATAATTATGTTCTGCAAAATTGTTTCTAGTGAACGTTTTACGTGTTTTTGACGGTAGTGTCATGGGTCTGTATGTTTGATAATCCATGTGTGAATATTTTGGGGCAACCGAAGGTTTAACGGTTGATTGTAAGGTTACCTGTGCTAGCGAAGTGTTTGTATTTCTTGGTATTGTTAAATTTAGACGTATTGGTGAAATGCTTTGTTGTGTAGTTGTTGTGTGTACGATTTCTTCATTTATGAAGTGTGATGGTGTCTGGATATCTTGTTGAGTGAGATTTCTAGTTCCATTGAGGTTTTCATTGTGTATGACTGTGGAGTTTAAACTATTATTTTGCATATCAGGTAAAAATGTATTATAGTTTAATGGTGTTGCATCAATGGTTAATGGTATTACTCTTACATAATCTTTTACATAAGATATCGTACTTATTGCTTGACTTGCAATTGATTGTGGAATATTTATAAATGCATAATGAGACCATTCGGGGTCCCAAACGTAGTCTGACTGTTCTGTGATGGCGGTATCATCGTTTGAATTTTGAGGTCTAAAATTTTTTCTTGCATGTGAAATTAAATCTAAATTATGTGTGAAATAATCTATTATAAACCATGCCAAAATTTTTTGTAAGTCGTGTTTTGTATGTTGTGAAACTTCATCTTTCGTGAAATTTTCTTTAATTATATTTAGAAAACTAGAGAGTAGTGTGATTTCATGTCGTACTCTTATGTGTTTAGATGTTTCTGTCGGTGAGACATTTGGGAGTGGGATTTCGTTCTCTAATATCGAGATATAACTATATATTATTGCAAAAACTTCATTGGTGAATATGGAGTTTGCTCTTTGTGAGTTATGATATTGTATGCTTTTTATATATTCTGAGAATACTTTTGAAAATTCTAAATCAAGGTCGTCTGTTTGAATTACATATTTGCTGTGATTCTGGTTTGTTGAGCTGAATTCTATGGAGTAGATTCCATATTGTTGTGTTAAGTTGCATATATCTTTCAAATAGTGATCAATAATTTGTCTTTTGATTTTTACATCTGGGAACTCTGTTTTACATGGACTGTTTCCGGGTTCAAACAAATTTAAGAGTAAATTTTTGCAAAATATATGCTGTCCTCTATCAGTGGTTGCATCTACGATAAAGGGGAAGATATCATCATCATCTGGACTTTCTTCACCTGGGGTGTGTGTTGAACTCATTTTTTCGTTCGATGACTGTTAATATGTAATTATCAATGTGTCTAATTGGTTGATTCCAATTGTATAAATGCACTGGTTTGTGTTTATATTGCTTTTTTATTCTTCTTTTTCCTCTTTTTGATGAATTTGAAGTTGTTTCTGAGTCGGAAAAATATAATTGATCGTGAATGGGGCAATTTTTATCTATAGATTCCTTTAATTTGTAAAGTTCGTCTAAACTGCTGGTTTCTGATTCTGAAAATGCGTTTCGGTTTTTTGAAAATCTTTTTCGTGTAATTTGTCTTTGTTTGGTTATTATTTTTCTTTTTAGTGTTTGTCGTTTTGTTCTGATATATCCAACTGTTTGTGTATGAGGTGTGATTACAAGGTCGTATTTTTTGTTATCTATTTCACAATTGTGTAAAACGATTGTTTGTTTATTTCCTAGGTTTTTAAATGACATAAGCTTTAGGATGACGGATGCAAAGGGTTGTTAAATGATTTCTATTTTCTTAAACTGTTAGTCCTTACGATTTTTTGGTTAGCTTAACTTGGGTCTATTTGTTCAGGGTTGGAGAGAAAAGTATATCGATTCCGAAGAATGATTTTATACTTTCTCGTGGCTAGTATAAGCTAAGGTGTTAACTTACTTAATCTTACTTAAGGGTAGTGATTGTGTTCAAGGGTTGGAGAATAGTAAATCGATCCACAAGGTTCAGGTATAATTAGAACGCGAGTAGTTCGTTAGATACTATTTTAAACTTACTAAGTCTAAGATTTATCCTGGGTCTGGTAAGAGGGGGGATCAAGTGAAGGATGAATAACCAAAGTTCTTCACTGTTTATCCTAATTTGAATGATTAGTTTTGTTCAAAAATTTCTGTTAGTCCTGGGTTTTTAGAAAGGGTTGGATAGTGAATCGACGTTTGAGGTCGTTAGACACTAGCTAAGTGGGTGGGGAAGAACAAAATTGTTCTTTTTGATCCAAGGATAGGCCTTGTTGATCAAGTTTTAAATTTAATTAAATAGAAAATGATTTAAGATCCAAGGATGAGCCTTGATGATCTGATTTTAAATTTAAGTGAATTTTAAGTTTAAAATGATTTAAATTTGTGTAAAGAAAAGATTTAGTGTTTTTATGATATTAGTGAGCTTATGAATGCTGTTATGTTTAGGTGATGAAGCTGGAACAACAGGATGATTTTTGATTACTAATCATTTATTGTCATGCTACTAATTTTTATTTTGATTTTTAAATAAATTTTTTTCAAACATGTTTTGTATATTACTGCAGAATTTAGGAAAACGATCTGAGATCTTTTTATCAATCGTTATTGTATATTAATAATTTTGTTTAGCGCCTGAAATGATTTTGAAGATTGACTTCAAGATTTTATGTTTGCAAATGAAAATCTAAATTAATTGCTAGTAGTATTCTAAATACAAAAGTTCTACTTTGTCGTATGTCGTCTCTGGTTCGAGGTCTTCTTGCAATTCCGGGTAGTTCTCTTATCGTTCGGAATATTGGCTTTGATCTATTGAGTCGTAGAGACATTTCGATTAAATTATCGTCGTGTAACATTTTAAAAATGTTTTGTCTAAATTCTAATCTATTTTTGGTTAATTCTAAGCTATTAAGGTCTTATTCGAGACTTATGGTCGCACCAGATGAGTTAGGACCGATGTGGTTAACTCATAGAGTAATTTCGGATAGGGTACACCGTCTGCTCGTCACGCTATCTTATTTTCGGCCGGATAGATTCGTGCAACTTCTTAGTCTAATACCAATCCTAATCTTACTCTTATACTATCTAGTCTCAGGTTGTTTAACTAGTCTCTGCTAGGCTCAATAGATCTAGGGTATACTGGTTTATTGCGGCTGCTGAAGTCTTCTTGGAGAGTCAACTAATTTCTAAGTTAAATTCAAATCTCTCTGGTGCTGAAATTACAAGTAATTTCAGCACTTACAAATAAGTGGATTGTTAGTCAGATGGATCATGATTGGTTAATATTAAATACTTTACATTGGTAAAATATCTAATTTATCCAATCATAAAATGTAGTTTAGATCAGGTTCCACTCGGCAGTCGAGGTAAAACGTTTAGCAAACCAAGAAATTGCTTTTCAAGATTGCAACTTCTAGAAACTTATAAATGCAAAGTCAATGAAAATGGACTCCTTTTTCATGATGCTGTAATTTCACTGCCTTGAAACAAATTTTTCTACTAAAGAAAAAATTTTAATTTCGTTTGCTTCAGAAAGCAAAGCGATACATTTGAAGGCATTTTCATGCAAAATGGGTTTTAATGTAGATACTTACTGTGTGTAGATGAGTTTTTAAAACTTCGGTTGCGAACAAAAATTTGATAAAACTTAGAGTTGGCTTTGAACGATGTTTTTGTTCAAAAAATTGGTGCGAACCCTTACAAATCTGTGAGCTATCTCCTCGAAACATGTTTCTGAGAGCGTAAACGCGTGAAAAAGTTTTGAGATTTACAGGTGATCAATATTATAACATTTCCAGACAAACCTATTTGTTCTCCTTGTTCTATTGAAACATCAGGTTCTTGGCTGATGCATATGTTGTGAAAAGCTATCAAAACGACATTTACGTACACAACATCCTGACCAGGGGCGGATTTAGGGGAGGGGGGGCCCTACAACGGCTTCTTTGACCTGTTTTTTTTTTCAAAAAAATTGCGTGCGGCGCAGAAAGTTTGGCCCAAACAGGGTCTTTTTACTGCTTTGGGGGAGCTCGGAAAATCAATCTGTTCGACCTAAAAAAAAGGTCGTCAAAATTTTCGAAAATTTTTTTGAAAATTCGCCCCCCCCCCCCCCCCCCCTCGAGAAAATCCTAGATCCGCCCCTGATCCTGACAGTTAAAATGAAATTTTTCATGGTATTGATTTTTAACCAGTGTTTTCCCAGAAGGCAACGAAGATCCAAAAATTCAGTCTAACAGCAAAATTAGTAATTGTCGCATTTTAAGAACAATGTGATATGTTTTTTTTATCTAGCTTAGTTTGGGCTTCTGCTATCATATTTCATTGGAGAGTTCAATCGTGAAATGGCATAGAACTTCCCTGCACAAAAAAAAAGATTCCCAGTAAAGCAGAACGAGAAAAGTTATTATCGAACAGTGGTTTTATTGAGCTCTTTCATAACGCAAAAGTTATGAAACTATGTTCATTTTTTTCTAGAATTACTACAATATCTTGAAAATACTCATTAAAGTATGCTAGGGCAGACTGTAAAAAGAGTAACAGTTCCGCTGTCTGTGCCCTCCGATTCTTGTTTCATCAAATAAGGGGCTTTTCTATTATCTGCTAAGGGGCTTTAGCTATTATCTAAATTTTGATGAAATTTGTTACTTTGAAATGACTTGGAGAGCAAATTTTCTTTTTCTCTTTCTTCAATACTGCTCCTGCTATACAGTGCTTAACTCCAACACCTTTTCCTTTGAGTGTTTCTTTCAAATTTTCCTATTTTCCTTGCCCGTGAAAATAAATGCCTGAACCCACATTTATTTCCCCTTATTTATTATGCTGCCACCACGTGACTAAATTGCCCAATGTCTGTCTGTATTAAAGCTACGACTGAGCCCGCATTGGTCTTTTCAGCGGAACTTATTCCTTATTTAATGCTCTAATCTTTGCATATGTGGTTCTGCAAACACTTTTCTCTGAAATGCAATAAATATACTTCATATGCACAAAAAATAACAAATTTACTCTTTTTTTGATTTTCTCCTTCATCTACTGTGTTTTATCCTTTTTTTCTGCTTAAAAGGTTGCTGATCTGATTTCTCTCTCAGATCTGATTTCAGTTTCATCTGCATAATATGCCCTTTTAAATGGTATCATTATTCAAGTAAAAAAAAATACTCTTAATCCTGGTTGGTAGTAACTTACGTCGTGTTTCCCAGCGTAGCAAGACTGGATGACGTTGATTATTATCAGCTTCAGCCCGTTATGTTGGACCGATTAAGTTCAGAATTACAATCCGAGAACAAGTCTTCAAAGTACAAAAAACACTACGTTTGCAGATCAATTTGACAGTACAACAAAAACGAAAATCCCTTAAATCTACTCAGCTTAAACTATTAAGAGCATTTTTCAAGAGTCGCTAGAGTTCATTTTTGAGCTGAATGGATTTAAATTTGTTGTGATTTTGCAAATACCTTTACAAAATTGACCGTCATCAATAAAAATCATCATCGTTATGTATTTAATTTGTTTTAACTTTTCCTTAGTTGTTGTATTCTGTCTAATTATCTTTCACCAGACTTTTACTCAAGGTATGTGGTCATTACAATTTAACGAAATTAGTTCTCGGGATCTAAGCTAGGACACATCAGAATGCAGTGAACAGATTTTTCCATTGAGGCTCCAATCAAGACTGAAAAAGGGCTTTGTTATGGAGTACCATTATTCTGAAAAAAGCAATGTTGTTTTAGCGTCAAAAATAACTCGCTAGCTCTAAGTCTGGATATTTAAGGGCGAAGAAAGGCCTGCTCTAATTTACGAAAAAAGTCTAAATTTTCTATCGTCTAAGTTTTTTATTGGTTGATGTTTCGGATACGACAGATAGCAATTTTTCAAAGTTTTTTTTCCAAAGTTTTAAATAGGTTCATAAGTGAAACCATTCATGTGGATAAACTATGGATTAGAAATGGAGATTTCCCTTTACAATCAGGTAACCAACTTGAATTTTATTTTGATTACAGTTGAAACTTCTTAAAAAAGGTTTTCAATATAATCTAAGTCTAGATGTTTTCTCATCCCAAGCCTTGTGATTCAAGTCCAGATTTTTTAAAGAGAAAAGTCTGTCTAATTTAATTGAATTTGAAATTTTTCATAATTTTGTAACATAGAAAAATAGTTGACATCACAATCAAAGAAAGAACCAACTTGACCGCATCCAAGTTTAGGCGTAAAAAGCGCATGATAACGGATTACTTAGTTGATTTTTAGACAACTAATTTTTATTATAATTAACAAAAATGGGTGTTCATAGACTTATTATCGATCAAAATTGTGATGTTTTCCTAGAGATTATAAACAAAAAATCTCTCTAAATTGATTATAATTAATTACCAATGATTATAATCTCTTAATTTGCCAAAAAAAATTGTCTCAACAAAAGCATATTTAATTATATCCCACGGGTTCCTAACTTTCCGTGAAAAACAAAGTCTCTAAAAACCATCTGACCTGTCACACTTTGGTTCATCTGAACACAAAAATTTCCACGGAACAAAAGTTTCATAGAAATCTTTTCATATTATTTAAAACGTTCCCGCGGTAGGTGAAAAAAAATTCGTCCAATTAAATCATGAAACTAAAGCAAAGTGCTGATGCTTGGGTAGTTGTTTGAACAACTTTATTGAAAAAAGGAAACAAAAAAACTATAAAAGTGAAATTATTTGAAATTTCCCACACAGTTTTTTAATTTCTCATCAAAAACAACGTCCACGTAAAGAAAAAAATCTATACAATTCCGGTGGTCGAAGACGAAATATGCAAACAAAAGATTATGATCGATTAACCTTGATTGTATAAATTTTTGAGCACAACATGAATTGAAATTTGGGAAAAAATTATTCGATTTTATTCCACTACATTGTGCTATATTTGATTGAAAATTGAATTCAAAAAGAGAGGTTAAAATCGATTATTATTGAAATTGGACGCGGGTTTGTTTAAAAGAGAAGTCAGTTTGACTTATCTCACAGTTTTTTCTAACAGAAAAGTAAAAAGCATCACTGATTTGTTTGGTTGTCTGCTGAAGGTGAATGCGACACATGTTTTATTTTAATTGACAGTACTTGAATTCTCGTAATTTTTTTAATTCGCGTAAAACAAGTTCCAACACTGATCTAGTGAGTTTTTTTAAAGTTGTTTTGAATGCTCGATTAGACGACCTTAGCCATTGACCAGTTGCCTCGTGGTGCAAAGTCCTCTAAGATTCAAAAAAGGTCAACATTTTTTATAAGATCTTCTGCTTGGTTCAACTTGGTTTGTTTGACCAACGTTGGAGCGTACTCCTTCCGAGTCGTTTCCAGAAGCTTTATACTCGACCCTTTGTTAGCTTACAGGATTTGTTGCTTAATTTGTTGGGCTTGGTTGATTGTAGAACGTAGTCGCAGAAGCGTAGATGAGTGAACTTCCGACCAGGAAACGGTTAAATGTAATTAGTTCATGATCGATGAGGTTGTAAAGTACCTGAAACTCGATTTGATTACGCCTTCAACAATTATTACTAATGTTGAAATCAAATCTTTTGAAATTGTCTCACGTCCCGAACTTAAAACAAAGACTCATTTTTTTAGGGCGACGCGTCTTTCCTTTTCTCGGATGAAAAAAGGGGCAGACGAGGCGTTCAACAGTCTTTCAATTGAATCATATTGAAAGTTAATTACTACTTTGGTCGAAATTGTGTGGCCAACTCATATTTTATTTGCTGGCAGGTACAAACTAAATTGGATTATCTGAAAGTTAATTATTATTATTAGTTTGGTGCTCCGAGCCCTGCTTATCACTCAACAGTTCTTAAATTTTTCTGAAGAACTGCTCCAACTTTTTTCATGTGTTCAAAATGAAGCTTTGTTACAAGATGTTCCGTATGAAATCAGTGCATAGGAGCATACCTTTATCATGAGCTTGAATAATTGTCAGACGAAGACGAAGTAAAAGGGTTTCGTTGCATTAAGAATTGGTGAATTTGTCAGCCGACCTCGGCCTCGAGCAAGACTTCATTCCATGAATGATAACAAAAGTATTAAACCGTCTTTTTTGACTAGTGCCTTGTCGGCGGCTAGGAGTTTAATGGTATCCGAAAGGCTAGTGCGTTGAGTTTGGTTGTAAAGAAAAGATTTTGCTGGCGCTCAATCATCAAGGGTAAACAATTGTTTCCGTTTAAGTCTTATTTTTATAATAGGAACAGCTACACGCGTTAGAGAAAGCCATTCAAAAACCAATATAAATTCAATGAATGGATCAATCATTATAGCGTACAAGTAATTTTCCTCTTTCGCTGTAGCATGGAATTGTCAAGCTGCACAGTTGACTTTAAATAGGTTGTGTTAATCTAAGATGTAGTTGAGTTGACCCACATGGGATTTTAGCGCGGTACTTGAAGCCAGTCCGTTTCTCATAGACACGAAACGCTGGTGATCGCAAACAAGTAACTTTTTCAGCAGAATACATCATGTGGTGTGAATGGCTAGATTCTTCTAATCTGGTTTCTATCGGCACTGTTGGGGCGTTAGAGATTGACGGTAATTCACTAATTGTAATGGAAATTTTTTTTGTTTTTAACTCTAAGCAAGTACGGTCGTAATATCTGTCTAGAACGAATATGAATCCTTTTTTCGGGTTTAATTTGACTCCTGGATGTATACGCAAGCTCCTATGGGGCATTGAGAAATGTAAGCAAAACCATGTAGTTCTAAAAAGCTGTGTTTGCCAATTTGACCGATTAACCTGAAAAAGGTGAAAAAGTTATCTTGTCTAAACTGTCTTGTGCGTTTTTGGATGAGTGGGATGTGTTTTTTCAGGAAATTCTTGATATCTTCTTATACCACAGCCTCACGCTTTTGAAGTAGTGTTTTGTGACAAATGGTGCTATCAATAGCAGCGGAACAAAAAATTTAGCTACAGTAGACGTTACTTTGGATATTGATTTTGCTTAAGCAGTTGTTTGTTTTGCGTTCTGGTTAAATGATGAGTGTATCAATCTTAGTATCTGGTTCACTGTTGAAACCCGATGAAATTTTTTTTTGTGTGGTTTTTATTTATGTGGGCTCGGTGAGGAAATCAAAAACATCTGCAGGTGTCAATAGAAACTTGGTTAAATTGAATCCTTTTTATGGAGTTCAGTCGTTGAAGCTTCAATTGATTGTTGAGTCTCCCGTAGAAGATCATGAGATTGAACTAGGTCATCCATGCAGACGGTGCTATGAAATAAATGCCGTATGTTGGGTTCTTTTCTGCAGACTTTTAAAATACAGAACCGGTTTGAAATTTATGCCAATCAGCCAACTTTCCAGCGAGTAAAGCGAGAGAGTATTTTTGGTTATATAAAAATTATGATCAATTGAGCAATCTCCCCCTCACCATTCTCGCGCGGGGGGAGATAGCTCAATGTTGAGGCATGTTTATAACTAGTTGAAAATAGTTCATTATATGAAACCATAAGACAGATTCTCCAACGATTTTGTAACAGCAAATTCACAACATGTCAGAAATCAAAAATACATGCAGTGTGAAAAACTAAAAACAATGCATCCATGGCCGGCTTTTTTCTGTCTCAAATGAAAAAATGATGTTTCTTACAATAAACGTAGCGCGGAGAATAGTTGTTTGTATTCACGTACAAAGTTATTGCCCCAACTATGGTGACTTGCTTTCCGCCAGGCAATGGTCGCCCAACCAAAAGTTCAGAGTTTCTCGTTTTCGATTTTTTTTCTTTTTTCAGTTTTTCTCGACACTCATAAAAAATTTCAGCCGGTCAATGCATTGCGTACTATGAACATATCAACCATCTGCGGCTGTTTGCATTCGATAACCCCTTTTGTTGTTTTCTTCTGTTTTCGAAGGTTACATGACAAAAAACCCCTCACCTTCAGATCCCAAAGAAGGAGATCCCAGCCAATAAGATACTTGTCCAAAAATACTCTTTCTAAAATTGCCCACAGCTTAAGATACCAACAAAAAAAGTATCAAAATTTGAAAAGAAAGGCGGTCAATTAATCAGAGCGAAAACAAAGCGTCGGTTAACTCAAGAAACGACAAAATTTCGAGCTTGAATGACCTAGCTAGTTCATTGTTTTCGAATGTAATCTCAAAACTCATAACAGACTAAATTACAACGAAAATAAAAGTTTTTCAATTATTCAGAACTAACTTTGCCGAAAACGGCCAGATTTTTCAGACAAATCAAGTCGGTACAAAAAAAACAAGTCTGTGGTACTTGCGCAGTACCCGGTTATCTTTGTTATGTCAAGCCAATAATTCACGAAAAATTCCTACAGATTTTTGAATTCGGGATTTTTTTTCCATGTATTCGAGTTAATGTAATCTATGATCCTCGGAGCGTAACCGTGGTTCCAACTATGAAAAATATTCATTGCTCAATTTCTTATAATCTATGTATTGTATGAAACTATGAAAACTAAAAAAAATTTACATCGCATAAAGTTTGAAGTCAAGCTTGTGGGGGCAGTGAAGTTACAAGATCAAAATCAGAAACAGACTTAACAAAATATTCAAAAAATTAGTTTTTCTATCCTTTTTTTATTAAAAAATAATCAAAAGCTTGTCGATGTGTTTTGAATGAGAACGAACAATGATCTTGAGTGGACAATTCGGCTACTGAAAAATCGACGGGTCCTCATTAGACAGTTTATTTGACTAATCATTCAAATGTGTGATCAGCAACGAGACTAATGACATCAAGAAACTTAGGCCCTTGTGACTTCATACCCTTTTGTAGAAAATTTGGCTACTTTTTGAAACTTCTTTGAAAAATTCTCAAACGCAATGTCCCAACGACCAGTTCTGAAGCTATGCGTCTAATAACGTTAAAACTGATTCAAACACTCTGTTGTAACTGAGCTTGGAATTAGTTGTGAACTGAATTAATTCACTATACAAGCTACGCGTTTAGCAAAATCAGACATCGAAACACTTTTGTTCCGACTTTCCATGTGGGCTCGGTGAGGAAATCAAAAACATCTGCAGGTGTCAATAGAAACTTGGTTAAATTGAATCCTTTTTATGGAGTTCAGTCGTTGAAGCTTCAATTGATTGTTGAGTCTCCCGTAGAAGATCATGAGATTGAACTAGGTCATCCATGCAGACGGTGCTATGAAATAATTGCCGTATGTTGGGTTCTTTTCTGCAGACTTCAATGGCTCTTTGACGTAGTTCAAATATGGCTGTTGAGGGCGAGAATTTAGCTTAGCGGACTAGTCGCGTATATTCTAGTGCTTAACTAATTGTTTTTTTTACAGCACACAAGAACCGTAGCATTCAATGATTATCCTTTTCTTGCCTATCTCCCAAAACATGCCTTCTATATCACCAGCGATTGCTATTGTTTTCTCTCTAGCCCAATATGGAACCAAACTAGTTGTTTAGTAGATCCTGTCCCCGTCTTTTAACGCGACCTGAAAGAAATAGCTTTGAAATTTGGTGCAGTTGTCATTGAGCGACTTCACCAACCAGAATTCTGGAGATTTGTAACCGGATGTTGTGGTAGATACCAAAATTGTAAGTATGGCAGATGTAGAAAAGTTACGGGTATCAAATCAATAGATAATGATTTGTCGTAGGGTTACAATATGGCTTTTACCTATTGTAGTTGTCGATGCAGAGATTCAAGTTGTGTTTCTGCAATGTTTGAATTGTGTGACATCGATAAATTGTCCTTTCGAAGCAATTTAGTTTAGTAGCGAGCTCCAAAAAAAATTTCATTTCAAAAACACCAACTGCGTAGTTTGTTGGCTCGAAAAGTTACTTTATTTTTTTCAAAAGATGCTTTGAAGTGTACCAGATTACTCAATTTTTGTCAAACATTTCCGCTTTTTTTTCAAGGGAGCATCTTCGTTTTGCATTATGTCGAGGGAATTGGCTAGAGGTCAGTTTTAATGCTCATCTGAAGACCTATGATGTAGCGGACTGGTTAGCGCACATACCAGAATTTGCGAAATCCATGCCGACTGCCAAAAGGGTCTTTCAGCCTTTCCTTCTCTGCTATATGCCAGAAAGCATCGACACTGAGTACAACTTGTAACGAGTTGTCGAAACGCGATGTGTCCTAGATGGCCTTCAATCGGTTTTCCACGTTGATACCGTTGCACTTCTGAGTCTGGCTTTGTTCTGATGTAAAGTAGATGGATATTTACCCAACAGTTATTTTTGATGCAGCGTTTTGCTGGAGTACAATAAGTTGATCTGTGGTTAGCCAGACATTTGAAGCAAAATTGTTCATCTTTCACCAGTTATTTACGCATTATTTGTTGAGAAGTTAGCTTTGAAAACTGCGCTGTGAAGTGACCAAGTTAGTGATGAGTTTGTCTTCTGTCAGTTCTTTTCAGCTGTTGACCCTCATAGAAATCTTTTTTAACTGGTATTTTCCGATCATTGCTTTCCGTAAAAGTGCTTGGTACATCCGGTAAAACCCATAATTTCTCGCAAGCTCTAAAGTATTTGTTGAGCCAGTCTGTGAGATCCTTGAGCGTACATTGGTCCACCCTATTATAAATGCAGTAATTTTTTCATTTGAACAAGACTGTTTTAGGAAATTTAGAACTAGCACGTTGAGTCAAGTAACTCGAGTTCAAACCTGACTTGCAGTTAATTAGCCGGAAGTTATCAACCAGTTTAGGTAGAAAAGCATCAAACTTGACGAAAATTTAAGGTTCATTTAAGTGCAGTCAATCAAAGTTTTCCAGCTTCCTAGTAAAAGCTGCAACAATGAAATTAATCATGAAACATCGGCAAACTAATTCGTCTGTTTTTTAAACTTACTAAAAAAATTGAAAATTGAGGCCATAGCTTTTTGCTTTGTTTTCAAGCTTAAGCCATAGCTTTTGGATTAAGTTAATTTTTCCGAGCCCATTTTTTAGAACTTGTTTTTTATGCAGTCGAGAATGGCTTAGGCTAAATATTCTATTGTATTGGACTGCTGTCGAATTGTGAAAGCTTAAAATCTGCCAGCTTGATTTGTTTGAGATTGTGGAGACATGCCAACTTTTTCTTTTTCTGATCAGTATAGCGGAGATCGTGATCGACTAGATTTAGGTTTTTGAACACCGCCGATTCGTAGGTTACATAATGAAGCCTTTAGCACCAGTCTGCTGCTGTTGTAGTGCTGGATTAATTGGATATTGATCGTTTCTAGATAACTCTGAACTCTCATAGGAACCAGGTCGATCTTCATAGCCTCACCTTGTCATCGCTGCGTCGCTCATCGACACTGGTGTATCCTTTTGATTATATTGTCGAATAATTTATCGATTTGCATTTTACTCGAGTAGTGTAGTTTTGTCAGATTGATTGGCCCAAGGCAAAAGCGTAGTTGGTCCCACTGTTGTTGTATTATCAAAACTGATGGTTGCCGTATGAAATTTATATGTAGTGTTATGAGCTGTAGTGGAAATTTGCATGAAACAACGATTACTGGCCGGTAGTTTGGGATGACTTGATTCTTTAGTTGTAACCCCCATACAAAAATCGTTCATAAACAAATAGACGTTCGAATGGAAGAACGATTCCAATTTTGGGACCTTAATACTAGGAAGCTTGAGTTTTTGATATTTTAGAGCCAGGCCATTGTGCTCGCGTTCTGATCAGTATCATCGCATTTGCTTCACCAGCGAGTTTTTGCGGCTTTGTAGTGAATAACCATCCTTAAGAAGATCTTGCACGTCTGCTAGAGGGCATGAAGTATATCATCCTACAACTCTTCTAATTCTTCTAATTCTAATTCTTCCAGTGTTTTTCAAAGTTCGTTAAAGAGTTTTTCACATTCTCTAAGTCAGTAGACTAGCAGTTTTGCTACTAATGTGTTGTTCAAGGCACTCAAGAGAAGTGTATAGCAAATCGTCCATTTGTTTATGAAAGCTTGTTGTGAGGTTTTGGAGCCATAATTGAAGTAGTGCAACGGTTATAAGAATGAAATACAAACGATGACAGAGAATTTAAGAAATAGAATGAAAAGTAGATTGAGGGTTTTAATAGTAATTGAGCAAAAAATACGGGCTGTACTGCTGGCACAAAATGCGTACCGTATTTCAGAAAGGGTTTTTTATGCAACTCAGAAACTATAAAAACTGTATGCCAATTGGTAGCTTTGTAACTTTATGCCATTTGCCAATTATGCCATGTTGGACTTTATTACAAAATCTATTGAACTGATTCGCAAAAAAAGCGCTGAGCAAGCGAAAAATAAATCCCCTGCAATAAAAGCATCTGGCGCAATCATCACTATGAAGCCCTTTTGAGGAGAAAAATGATAGTTTTAGTCTTGATACAAAGTTATTATTATAAAGTTGCACAATCGTGATTATACTCAAAAGTTGTCTAATTTAGACATCCTACGACGACTACATCAGTTTTTGTCTATTTCGCGTCAATTGTTTTGGATTAATAATATCTGGGTTTTTGAAAACGGTCAGAAGAAAATATTTCAGAAGAGCCTTCAACATATTTCTAAAATTGTTGTTCAAAGAGTAATAATAAAATGAAAGAGTAACCACTACACCTTGTTTATAGTTTTGAAATGTTTTTTTTTTGTTTTTTCTTAGAGCTAAGCTTTCATGTCGAGGGAAATTTATTTTTGGAAATTTCGCTTTTTTGTAATCAAATCGTTTTACTTTTGTTTTCAGATGTTTCTTTCAACTGGTCGGCGAACGCGGCTGTTCCTAGTCTGAGAGACTACTTCTTCAACCCTCCTGAGTCATATGAGCCCCACCCGGCTATAGGTGGAATCCAGTGCTATCGGCGCAAGTGTCGTCCTGATGCCTCCAACGGGGGCACGTGTCCGGGAGTCTATGATGACAGGGTGCGGGGAAACTTCTGTGTCGTTAAGAACGAGTTCGGATACCTCATGTTTGACGGGGTATTTTCAGTATTCGACTTGACCAGTGCGTGCTACGATAAGGTCAGTCAATTCCATGGTATCAATTGATGGAGCATCAATAACTGATCAACTAGGATCATTTTTTAATCACCAATCGTTTGACAAAGTTATGCATTTCTGATACTTGGCATCAATATTTTTAAAAATTTTTCCTCTTTGACCCAGTTGTTAATTCACAAAAAAACTGAAAAAAAATTTTCATCCCTACCAATGAGAAGGAGGCAGTATTTGCTATTTATACATCAAAATCTTGTTATTTATGGTCAAAAGGATACAAATTGTCAGGATAATATTGCAGGTAAAAGCGTGTCACGTGAGTTACTGCAACTCGAATGAGTTCTACCGAGACAAGACAGGCTGGTGCAGATGCGAAGATCGTCAGTGTATCCTGAAGATGCTCCTGCAGCCCCCCAACATCGAGAAGGAGGGGTCCAAATTCTACTACAAAACCCCTCAAGGTCAACTGAAACGGGGTCAACACGACTGCAAGGACACTTGCCACAATCAGAGGCATTCCAGTTTGATCTTATGAAGACCTTGTGATGAACTTTCAAAACTGTTTTTTCTTGTCTTTTTTCTATCACTTTTGTCGCGCGTAATAGTTCAATTCAAACTCTGTGTAACCTGTTTGGCTTAACTCAGTTCGCTCTGCTTTTAAAATACAGAACCGGTTTGAAATTTATGCCAATCAGTCAATTTTCCAGCGAGTAAAGCGAGAGAGTATTTTTGGTTATATAAAAATTATGATCAATTGAGCAATCTCCCCCTCACCATTCTCGCGCGGGGGGAGATAGCTCAATGTTGAGGCATGTTTATAACTAGTTGAAAATAGTTCATTATATGAAACCATAAGACAGATTCTCCAACGATTTTGTAACAGCAAATTCACAACATGTCAGAAATCAAAAATACATGCAGTGTGAAAAACTAAAAACAATGCATCCATGGCCGGCTTTTTTCTGTCTCAAATGAAAAAATGATGTTTCTTACAATAAACGTAGCGCGGAGAATAGTTGTTTGTATTCACGTACAAAGTTATTGCCCCAACTATGGTGACTTGCTTTCCGCCAGGCAATGGTCGCCCAACCAAAAGTTCAGAGTTTCTCGTTTTCGATTTTTTTTCTTTTTTCAGTTTTTCTCGACACTCATAAAAAATTTCAGCCGGTCAATGCATTGCGTACTATGAACACATCAACCATCTGCGGCTGTTTGCATTCGATAACCCCTTTTGTTGTTTTCTTCTGTTTTCGAAGGTTACATGACAAAAAACCCCTCACCTTCAGATCCCAAAGAAGGAGATCCCAGCCAATAAGATACTTGTCCAAAAATACTCTTTCTAAAATTGCCCACAGCTTAAGATACCAACAAAACAAGTATCAAAATTTGAAAAGAAAGGCGGTCAATTAATCAGAGCGAAAACAAAGCGTCGGTTAACTCAAGAAACGACAAAATTTCGAGCTTGAATGACCTAGCTAGTTCATTGTTTTCGAATGTAATCTCAAAACTCATAACAGACTAAATTACAACGAAAATAAAAGTTTTTCAATTATTCAGAACTAACTTTGCCGAAAACGGCCAGATTTTTCAGACAAATCAAGTCGGTACAAAAAAAACAAGTCTGTGGTACTTGCGCAGTACCCGGTTATCTTTGTTATGTCAAGCCAATAATTCACGAAAAATTCCTACAGATTTTTGAATTCGGGATTTTTTTCCATGTATTCGAGTTAATGTAATCTATGATCCTCGGAGCGTAACCGTGGTTCCAACTATGAAAAATATTCATTGCTCAATTTCTTATAATCTATGTATTGTATGAAACTATGAAAACTAAAAAAAATTTACATCGCATAAAGTTTGAAGTCAAGCTTGTGTGGGCAGTGAAGTTACAAGATCAAAATCAGAAACAGACTTAACAAAATATTCAAAAAATTAGTTTTTCTATCCTTTTTTTATTAAAAAATAATCAAAAGCTTGTCGATGTGTTTTGAATGAGAACGAACAATGATCTTGAGTGGACAATTCGGCTACTGAAAAATCGACGGGTCCTCATTAGACAGTTTATTTGACTAGTCATTCAAATGTGTGATCAGCAACGAGACTAATGACATCAAGAAACTTAGGCCCTTGTGACTTCATACCCTTTTGTAGAAAATTTGGCTACTTTTTGAAACTTCTTTGAAAAATTCTCAAACGCAATGTCCCAACGACCAGTTCTGAAGCTATGCGTCTAATAACGTTAAAACTGATTCAAACACTCTGTTGTAACTGAGCTTGGAATTAGTTGTGAACTGAATTAGCTCACTATACAAGCTACGCGTTTAGCAAAATCAGACATCGAAACACTTTTGTTCCGACTTTCCATACGAAAGTAACGGAACATTTGTGCTCGGGTGGGTTTTTTTCTTCAAATAAACTTTAACATTTTAACTAGCCGTTTTTGGACGGAATTTTTTTATAATGTTCGAAAGGTATTGTTGTCTTGAGCTTACATTTGAAGATATTTCACCTGTGATCATTTTTCGTAAAGTTATGGGGTTTTGAAGATTGTCGTTTTTGGCCAATTTGGGACAATTAACGCGCGATATATTTCGCGCTATTAACGCGTAAGCGGAGACTTAATCCGTCTTAGTAATCGTTCCAAATTGGTAAAAAAGAAGCTTATTCGCCATAATTGGTTTGTTACAAGGAGCGAAATTTATCCTTTTGTACTTTATGGGGGGGATGATTTTTATAAAAAATTTCAAATTTTAGAAACTTTTTTTTCATTTTGTTTTAATTCATTGAATTTTTTAAGGTTATTATTGCTCCATAAACCTTAAAAGGCAGTCGGAACATTCAGGGCTTCGCCCTGATACGAGCAGTCTTGTTTGTCTTATTTTTGAAAATTCACGAATTTTGTCACGTCTTTTTGTCTTGATACCAATAAGAGTTTAACTTTATAAAAGAATCAACGGCATGTTTGAGTTTGTAGGTCTAAAAGATCATCTCAAAGTTGTCAAATGCGACAAGAGTTCCTGAAGAGCTCTCGAAATAACACTGTTTGTGAATTATAGAGAAAATTTGTTCGGAGCTTGTCAGTAGCTGTTAGACTCAGCGAGTTTGCTGCGAGCGTCACACCAACCGGCTGGAAGGCCGTAATGACCTGACTAATATCGCGCTGAAAATAGTTTCATGCTGGGTTAACAAGTCGTACTTTTGGCTGATTACTCAACTGTTGGTGTGGTGTACCAACGCTAAACTTCGATTAGAAATTAATTAAAAAGAACTCGACGAAAGTAGCACGCTTATGTACAAGCTCACTATACAAGCTACGCGTTTAGCAAAATCAGACATCGAAACACTTTTGTTCCGACTTTCCATACGAAAGTAACGGAACATTTGTGCTCGGGTGGGTTTTTTTCTTCAAATAAACTTTAACATTTTAACTAGCCGTTTTTGGACGGAATTTTTTTATAATGTTCGAAAGGTATTGTTGTCTTGAGCTTACATTTGAAGATATTTCACCTGTGATCATTTTTCGTAAAGTTATGGGGTTTTGAAGATTGTCGTTTTTGGCCAATTTGGGACAATTAAAGCGATGTATTTCTCGCTTTCAACGCGTAAGCGGAGATTTAATCCGTTCTAGCAATCGTTCCAAATTGGTTGAAATAAGCTCATTTGCCATAATTGATTGTTGCTAGCAGCAAAATCTATTCTTTTGTACTTTATATGGCGTGTGGGGGATGATTTTCATAAAAAAGTTCAAACTTCAGAAAAAAAAATTTCAGAAGAAAATTTTTTTTGCCCTCCAACGTTTATGGAGCAGTATTCAGATTAAAACAAATTAAATGTGATAAAAAAAATGAATTTTTTTTCTAAAATTTGAAATTTTTAAATAGAAATCATCCCCACACACGCGATATAAGATACAAAAGGATAGATTTCGCTCCATGTATCAAATCAATTATGGCGAATAAGCTTCTTTCAACCATATCGGAACCATTTTAAATATCCGCTTACGCGTTAAGAGCGCGAAATATATCGCGCGTTAATTGTCTCGGCTCTTTTCCAGTTTCCCCCCCCCCCCGCTTTCAAATTCAAATTTGAAAAGCTTATTTAACGTAGTCATAATGCCATGAAATTTGGCATGGTGAACAAATCGACAACTGTGAACAGATTTCTTCTTCATACTTTACAGCGTAACATCACGCATTTAGCCGTAATAACACGTAAAACAAACATAAAACTCGGTATTTTGAAAGGGGGGGGGGGAACTGGAAAAGAGCCATTGTCTCAAATTGGCCAAAATGGCAATCTTTAAGCCCCCATAAGTTTACGAAAAATAATCACAGGTGAAATATCTTCTCAAATTTAAGCTCAGGACAACAATACCTTTTGAATGATATAAAAAATTTTGTCAAAAATGGCTAGTTAAAAATTCGAAATTTGTCTGAAGAAAAGAAACCCACCCGAGCACAAATATTCCGTTACTTTCGTATCGAAAGTCGAAATATGTGATCAATTTTAGAATTAATGTCATGGCAACAAGGATTTCATTTAAAGAAAGCAAATCAAATGATAAAAAATTGTGCGTTTGGAACTATTTGCCCAACTATCCATATTTAATTGAAGCAAACTGGTTTTAAGTCGAATTTGGCTCTAACCCGGGTTGACAAAAACTTGCTATCTTTGTCTTTTTCTTACATAACTCTTACAATTTTTTTCATAAAATTGGGCTCTATGAATGTTTTAAGAAAGGTTTCAGTTAATAATTTTACATATAACTTTTTCGAATTTTATATAACTGAAGAAAGCTCGCCGTTTTTGCGAAAAAAGTCCAAAAATGATATTTTTCTGTAATGACTCCCCCTCAAAGTTAATATTCATTGGCACCGAAGGCACCTGAAAAACTTTAGGGTCGATCGGCCGAAAATGGATTTCTTAAAAAAAACCAAAGGGGGGACCCTTTGGGTCGGCAGGGGGTCGAATCCCTGAGGAAGGGGCGTCCGCCCCCCTCCACCCCCCTAAATCCGCCCCTGCTAACAAGCCATATGAAAAGTCTATGATAGCGGTTTTTTGTGGTATGGTAAAGCCGGGATTATTTGCATTTTTAGCTCATTTTTAAACGCAGACATTTAGCGCAAAAAACTTTTTGTTCGATTTTTTTTTTCGATAGGTATTTGATCAACAAAAATCTATCCACTTCAATCAGATATTGTTTTCAACACTTTTCTTGTCGGCATGCAATCTTGTTGTGGAACGTGGTTTTGGTGTGGAAACTGTCAATTTGCCCAATATGCACTAATGGTTACGCTCGAACGGAAAATGATTCATGCTCAAACATAGTTTCATAAGTAATTGTTGCAAGCTATTAAAAGGATCTCAGAGATGCAAAAAAGATCACACTGAGCTCAATATTGCGGTAAGAGTTTTTTAATGAAACAAGTTTTATTTGGTTTTGTTTGAAAATTTCATCTATTTTTTCTATGAAAAAATAAGAACAGAAAAATTCAAAAAAGCGAACAAAAATAAAGCTCAACAAAGTCTCATAAAAGCATTTCTACAGCATTTTTGAAGAAAATGGCGGAATGTTTAAGAAAATGGCGGAATGTTTGCGCTCAGTCGGTTGTTTTCTTGTG